AAAGGTGTGTTTGTTGTTATTTTTAAGATATGGGTAAAGGTCCGCTTTAACTATTAACAAAAATGTATCTTATTTGTGTAGCACTCGGCTGTAGATCCTCAAATCATCTCTGAATTGGCACGGACACTGTCCTTCCTTCTGGAGGGTGACTACTTTTGTTCCCCATGGTCCCTGTGTGTGTTATAAAGTACAAACCTCTCCAAGCTCACTCCCCTGATGGACTACAATCTCACTTTTAGTTTACTAATTTGTATTGAGATTGTAGTCCGTCACGGGAGGGAGCTTGGAGTGGCGGCTACTTTACACACATAGGGACCATGGGGAACAAATATAGCCACCCTCCAGAAGGAAGGACAGTGTCAGCACCAATTCAGAGATGATCTGAGAAAGTGTCACCAGACCATCGACATTTCCAGAGAAGAACCATTCTTTAGTTACAAACAGAAGCAAAGTTTCCGGTCCGGTATGTGGCTTTGAAATGTTGCTTCTGTTTGTGATTATTAAATGTCTCTTCTCTGGAATTGCCGATGTTCTGATGACATTTCCTCACTGAATCCCCCCAGTGAGGACACAGAAAGCAATTAAAACCTGACAGAGGCGCTATCTCTTCCCTGCGTTAACCAAAACTTCCAAAAACATCTACTTTCAAAAAAATCTGTCACTTTGCCCTTTCAGTGACAGGTTCTCCTGAAAGCTCAGCAATGGTTGACTGATCCAGTACTTACACTGATCACCAGTGTGAGGGGGCAATTTTCTACCAACCACCAATGTCACTTCCATAACCACTAGTGTTAGAGGACATCACCATTTTACTGCCTGCCTTTCTACGTTGCATTCTGACGTTCTTATTCATTTCAAGAATATTATTGAAAAAAAATATTTTTTAGGGGGTTGGAAACCAAATTATATGCCATGGGTGTCAAATATGCTAGGTATGCCGCATTATTTATTCTTTTACTTGAAACTTTCTTCAGCTTATTGATCACACTTACGTACCAGCCATAGGTATAACCCTTTGGAGTTACCCAACACCTGATTATTATTTTATTTCCTCAGGGATACAAAGTTTGAGAAAGGGTGCTCTAGACAAGTCATTCTCAACCAGTGTTCCTTCAGAGGTTCCTAGGGGTTGCGGGTCTATTTGTACCAATTTGATAGTGCCTACATAGTTCCTGGGCCAACACCACTTAGCAAAGTCAGCCGCATGACACCAATGATCTTTTAAGCCAGGGGTGCCCACAATTTTTGTGTTAAGATCTACTTTTCAAATGACGAGCTACATGAGATCTACCAACGAAAAAAAAACCTCCCTCGCTCTCTCTCTCCTGGCTGTCATTCCTCGTTTTTTTCTCCTGGCTGTTTCTCCTTGTTCTCTTCCCTGGCTGCCTCTTCTCTCTCTCTCTTTCCTGGCTGTCTCTCCTCTCTCTCTCTCTCTCTTTCCTGGCTGTCTCTCCTCTCTCTCTCTCCCCTGGCTGTCTTTCCTCTCTCTCCTGGCTCACCTTGCTGTATTTTGCAAACAGTGTAGTGCAACAGGCTGTGTAAACTAATATTCTTTGATGTAATACATAGCACTTCAGCCCCCAGTATCCACCAGAAAGGTGTCAGGGAGCTTGGCTCAGCAGACTCAGGCTAATAGGTAATCATGTGTGCGCAGCTAAGTAAATATACTAAAATGGAATATAGGGGCCACCATTCACACCCTTCGTGATCTACCAGCATCAGCTTTGAGAGCTACTGGTAGATCACGATCTACCTAATGGGCACCCCTGTTTTAAGCTAACTGTAAGGGATGCATTCTGACTACCGCTGTAAGGGGAGGGCATGCTTTCCAGTGACCACCAGTGTATGGGGCATTTTTCCCACTGGTTCTCAAATGTTTTAGCAACAGTTGCCCTAGACCTGAATTTTATTTCAAGGGTTCCTCGGGGGTAACAAGGTTGAGAAAGGCTGCCAGCCATTCTCAATCAGGGTTCCCCCAGCGGTTGCTAGGGGTTTCTTGAGCTGTTGGTGCCCATCTGATGGTGCCTGCATGTAGGCAAGTGGAAGGCCTGCCCCCCATGAGGTAGGGGCTGGAGGTCACCCGCCAGGTGGCCCCAAGGATAAAATTCATGACCAATGGACATAAAGAATGCAGAACTCAATCTTCATTACAGACACAGTGCATGGGACCAGAATCTTACCCCCAAGACAATAGCAGCACTCACAGTTGCCTTTACTTGCTTTCCCTAATTAGCAACCACGGCGACTGTCAAGTCTCAAGACAACCGGGCAGAGCCTGTGGGCATTCAATCCAGCACCCACATGTACCTTTTTTTAGGATAAAGAGCAGACACCATGCAGACTCACACTGCACAGAGTCCATCACTTGCCACGATTCAGTGCTGAGCACATCTTCAACACTTCTCTGCCCCATTGCACAGAAGAATGTCCAGTGGGGTTCAGTTGAGCATAAATTCAACTTTACACCAGAGAATAAAAGCAAAATCCAATCCACTGTTACTTAATTTTTACAACATAGTGATATAACAAGGCTCAACCAATACAGTAATACTTTCCTCTATAAAGGGTAACTCCGGTGCTCAATTACTCCCTCTTGTAAAGGAATCCTCCATCCTGACTTTTCCCATCTAGTTCTTTCTGGTTATATACTGTTAGTTTGGGGGATCTCTCTTTTCACCAATCCACACTGTTAGTGTGGGTGAGGAATCCACCTCACCAGTCTATTGTATTCTAATAACGGCGGTGTGCTGCTGTCAGAGTAGCCGAACGGGGACTGCAGCAAATTGTAGTCATTGTTTGGCCAAGTTAATTCACACCGGCTCCTTCAACAAAAGTGGATTGAAAAGCTGAGTTTTGTCAAACGGGGCAGGGAAGGAAGTGGGCTTCCCAATGGGGTCACACACTGATCGAATTTCAGCCAAGTCCTGCTCAACTCGGCTACTGTACGGCCAGCTTTAGAGTGCATGTTTCCCACTGACCACCAGTGTAAAAGTCACCATACATGTTACAATCTGACCGTAGAATCTCTGTACAATCAACTTTAGATTGACCAAATCTATATAATATGAGGAGGACCTGCCTAGTATATCCAATCAGGTGGGCTCTTGCACTAGATACTTGGTAGATCTAAGCCCTGGTTCACACCTAGGCGTATTGCATATGCGCGTCTGTCGCACAGTTGTCGCGCGGTTTTTTTACCGCGATTCGTGGTAAAAAAAATCGCGCAACAAACGCGCGTTTCCGAGGGCTACTTGGCTGTATCCCAATGGAAACGCGCAACAAAAACGGCCCAGAGTAGTACATGTACCTTTTCAGGCGTGGGCCGTTTTGTAACGCGTTAGGGACGGGCTGAAATACGCAAAGGTGTGAACCAGACCCATTGAATACAATGGGATTTAGATGTTTAAACGTTTTGTAGAGCATTCGTCGAGCGTAGAACGCGCTACAAAACGTTCAGGTGTGAACGAGGGCTAAAGGAGATTGTACAATCAGATGGTAACGTGTGGTGTGTGGTAAACTTAAGGGGGATTTTTTGCCACTGATCCTCAATGAAATGTTTTCAGCAGGCATTCCCGGAGACCTGAATCTTACATCAAGGCAGTGGCATCACAAGGGGGGTGCGGCCTGCACCCGGGTGACACTATTGGAGGGGGAACACCAAATTACTGAGTCATTTTGGTTTCACCCCCTCTAAAATTTTCGGGCACTCAGTCACGGACTGAGAACCAGACAGTGTCAGGAGAGAGGAGGTGACCCGGCGGCATACCTTATCCCGCCGGGTGAGCGTACCCTCCTCTGTCTGACAGCCTCCATCACCAAGATGGCCGCCGGCAGGCATAAATTAGATAACCGCACATGTGTGGTGATGTCACGGCAAGGTGTCACCTGGTCCCCGATCCAGGTGCCACCTGGCCTCAGGATGCCGGTTTCAAGGGGTTGAAAAAACTGACCTTTGATGAAAGGGGCGGAAAGAAAGGGGGGTTCCCAATAGGACCACACACTGGTCGAATTTCGGCCAAGTCCTGCTGATCTTGGCGGGTGTATGGCCAGCTTTAGAATGCCTGCTTTCCACTCACCACCAGTGTATAGGGGATGGTTTGCCACTGATCCTCAATTAATTGGTTTTAGCAGGGGTTCTTCAAGACCTGAATATTATTTCAAGGGGTTTTCCAGGGGATACTCTTTGAACCACATTTATTCACACCAGCAGCTTCAACAAAAGTCGACTGAAAAACTGACTTTCCTCGAACGGGGTAAGGAATAAAGGGGGGGTTCCCAATAGGAGTGGGACCACACACTGGTCGATTTTTTTGGGCCAAGTGCTGCTGATCTTGGGTAGTATATGGGCTGCTTTTAAAGTGCATGCTTCCCACTGATCCTCAAATAATTTTAGCAGAGGTTCCCTGACACCTGAATATTATTTTAAGGGGTTTTCCATGGGATACTCTTTGGCCAAGTTTATTCACACCAGCAGCTTCAACAAAAGTCGACTGAAAAACTGACATTTCTGGAACATGGCAACGAAGGAAGGGGGGTTCCCAATAGGAAGTAGGGACCACACACTGGTCAAATTTTGGCCAATCCTGCTGATCTTGGCTAGTGTATGACCAGCTTTAAAGTGCATGCTTCCCACTGACCACTGGCATAAGGGGGATTTTTGTTTTTACCACTGATCCGCAATGAATTTTAGCAGGGGTTCCCTGGCACCTTAATATTATTTCAAGGGGTTAAAAGGTTGAGAAAAGCTGCCTTAGAATGTAACAGCCAAGTGCCCGGGGGTGGCGATGGTCTGCACACCTGAATTTCTAGAAGAACAGCAGCACGGCTGCTGAAGAGAGGCGATGATCTGCAGACTGAGTGGGTGCAGGATTGTCATGCAGCGTGCGTCTATAGAAAGTGGAAGCAGAGACCTGGAAAGGAGCAACGATCTGCACATTGTGTGGGCTCCCAATCCTGCAATATTGCAGAGTCCCGGAGAAATGGTTTTGTTGGAGCTGAATGCTGTCAGCAGGGGAGGACCCCGCTATACAGTAGCACAGTCATGTGACTCCGAGCTCTCGCTGAAAAGATCTTGCACAAGTGAGAGCTTTGCAGTTCCATATCAATGACCGAGCACACGGCTGCAGGGCTGGAGGCAGGCAAAGCGAGCGCTCCATAGATCACCCAAAGGGGGGTGTGCGAACATGTCTCAGAGGTGGTTCGACCGAGTTCGGGTACCCGAACCTGCCGGGACGGGGATGCACAGAGCTATGCTGGTCAAGTCCGGTAAGAGAATGTTTATGTTCATCTTATAACCCAGGAGGAGAATGCCAAGCTGGCCACACACATTACGATCGTTAAGTCGTTTCCTTATCATTACGATGGCTCGTTCATTCCTCGCATACGCAGGTACCTTGTCTCTCTTCGTGATTAGATTGCCATAAAAATGGATTACTGACAAGTGCACATTGCCAGGATCATAAATTGGAAACATCTGTAGAAGAACGCCACACTTGTTACAATTGCATCAGATCTCGATGCGATTATTCTTCATCTTATTGGTTAACTTATTGCTTCCAATCTAAAACACCATCACACTGCAATCATCATCAACAGGAGAAAACTGGATCATTCAAATAGGAGAAAACTGGATCATTCAAATAGGAAATGTATTCTAGATATAAGAAGTACGTGTCCCCCCTTTCTGATCCGGACCGGTCCTGCTGCTGCAGAATGTCTTGGGAGGCTCAGCGGTCGTCACTGCGCTGACCCTCCAGACCAGAGCTTGTATTGAGTGACAACTGTGGTTCATACAGCCCTGTATTACAAGGCAGTGCTTAGGGTAATTATGATCTTCAAAGACCCCATAGCAGCCTTTTAGATCTACTAAAGTCAAAGAAAATCAAGAGAAGAGATTCTTTCTGATTGGTTGCTTGGAGTTATTGCTCTATAAATATAGTATTGATTATTGCTCTTTGTATTGCCTTATTAAATAAGCCTGATAGACCCTATAGCAGCCTTTTAAATCTGTATTTACTAAAGTCAAAGCAAGTCCAGAGAAGAGATTCATTCTGATTGGTTGCTTTGGGTTACTGATCTTTACTTATAGTATTGATTATTGCTCTTTGTATTTCTTTATTAAATAAGCCTGATAGACCCCATAGGAGCCTTTTAGATCTCTATTTATTAAAGTCATAGCAAGTCAAGAGAAGAGATTCATTCTGATTGGTATTGGGGTTATTGATTTATAAATATAGTATTGATTATTGCTCTTTGTATTGCCTTCTTAAATAAGCCTGATAGACCCCGTAGCAGCCTTTTAAATCTGTATTTACTACAGTCATAGCAAGTAGAGAGAAGAGATTCATTCTGATTGGTAGCTTGGGGTTATTGATCTTTACTTATAGTATTGATTATTGCTATTTGTACTGTCTTATTAAATAAGCCTGATAGACCCCCATAGCAGCCTTTTAGATCTGTATTTATTAAAGTCATCATAGCAAGTCAAGAGAAGAGATTCATTCCGATTGGTTGCTTCGGTTTATTGATCTTTACTTATAGTATTGATTATTGGTCTTTGTATTGCTTTATTAAATAAGCCTGATGTTGGTGTTATCCCTCATACGTTGTCACTTCCTTAGAAAGTTTGCTGGGATTGCCTTTTTTTAGCTCAGTAAAGGTGATGAAACATATCACAATCCAATGACACGGTATCTGCCGTATAGCCGTATTGGATGGAAGTTGTCACTGTATGTGTGTGGTGCTGCTTAAAGGCAAAGTCCACTTTTGGGAGCATATTTAGGGTGTAACATTAAACAAAACTTGATAAAGATGTCACCAGCACACCATATTGAAGTGAAGAACATGTCTGTTTATTGACGCTTCATGTCAAAACAAATAGCACAGTAAACAGACGTGTTCTTCACTTCAATATGGTGTGCTGGTGACATCTTTACCAAGTTTCAGTATTGACGGCGCCATCCGCGGTCACTTCGAGCGCCCACACTGACAGGGATATATGGTAAGGAGTGCAGCAGGATTCTGGAATACATAACATTAAACAAAGTCGCATTCCCCAACCGCCCGCCCACTTACCTGCCGTCATCTGCTAACATTTGAACTTGGCACAGCTCTGCGGGCTCTGCGAACTGGAAGACAACAAGTTCCATCAGCCACCACGGCAGAGAGTTTCACAGATTTCGCCGGAACCAGTACGGTAACATCACTGGACTTGTAGTCCATTGTTTACTTCCTCCAGCCCTATAACAGAAAGTCTGTACCTCTGTGCGGACCTGGGGCTGGGGATAAGCAATGCAGGAGGCTGTGCACTGCACCTGTGACACGCACTGATTGCAGTTGTAATGCTTGAAGGCGACACCATTTTTATTTTTTAATGTGGGATGTTTATTACATTTTTGAAAAAAGGGGGACTATGCCTTCAAAGCTGAACATAGGTCAGCCAATAAAATAACTTTTGTGTGGCTCCTCTTCCCCCCCTGGATTTTAGGTGTCTAAGGCTTGTATAGGTTGTGGAGGGGGGCTGTAAAGCAGAGGAATGTGTAACTTATACCTGGCTCCTGCAGGATCTGGGATAGATAACCAGTCTCCCAAAGCTGGTCCTCCCCTCTGGTCACGTGACCGCTCCCTCACCCATGTCATCACGTGCAATGTAGGACCAGGAGTCTTGCACTGTACATGAGAAAATCAAAGGTATGGGCACATTTCGGGGTTGAAGCAGATCAAAGAATAATGCCATCTGTTGGGGGAATGAAGAATAAAGCAACTTTTACTCTACTTATACCCCTTATACCCTCTATTTATACCCTCTATTTATAACCCTTATACCCTCTACTTATACCCCTTATACCCTCTATTTATAACCCTTATACCCTCTACTTACCGTATACCCCTTATACCCTCTATTTATAACCCTTATACCCTCTACTTATACCCCTTGTACCCTCTACTTATACCCCTTGTACCCTCTACTTATACCCCTTATGCCCTCTACTTATATCCCTTGTACCCTCTACTTATACCCCCTTATACCCTCTACTTATACCCTCTACTTATACCCATTGTACCCTCTACTTATACCCCTTATGCCCTCTACTTATACCCCTTGTACCCTCTACTTATACCCTCTATTTATACCCCTTATACCCTCTATTTATAACCCCATGGAGAGAACACCTACACACCTAAACAAGCATCAGAGTCTTACTATATGGGAAAGGGAGGCACACATAAGTTATTTCTAAAGGCTGACCAGAGTTCAGCTTCATAGTATACCTGAAATAAGACAATTCCTTCTGAATAAACCTGTCTTCAGTGATTCTCTACTCAAAAAACATGTCATGAGTGTGCAGCAAATGAAAGTTGAACAACAGTTTTTTTATAGCTAGGCTTGTTCCAGGCCAGTGGCTCAAACTACTGATGCCAATCAGCATTGCAGCCAAGCAAGCAGCATTTTTGTCATATATATCTGTCATGAGGGGTTTTCTTTATGTTGAGATACAAGAATAAAACTCGTTTTAAAGGTGAGAAACTGAGAACATCAGAAGAAGCTGTGATGGGAGAAAATTAGTTTTATGGCTGAATTGCATGGTAAATGCAATGTTCTAATGCAATGTTGGAAATAAGGAGATTAAGGGGGGATATGATTTTCATGTACAAGATGTTCAATGGTGATAGCAACATTAGCAACAAACTCTTTAAGATTAACTCCATTACAAAGACTAGAGGCCACCACCTAAAATTGGTGGAGAAAAAATTCCAGCACAAGGGGCGAAGGGGGTTCTTCACAGTAAGAGCGGTTAGGGTCTGGAACTCACTGCCACCGGCAGTGATTTCAGCTAAGAGTGTAGAATTGTTCAAGAAACTTTTGGACGATTTCCTGAGGGACCGTAATATTCAGGGATACAAGTATTCCTAAGAATGAGTGGACCTATATGGGTTGGACTTGATGGGCGTATGTCTTTATTCAACCCCAAATACTATGTAACTATGTAACCATATCCTACTGCAGAGAGCTCTCAGCATATTGCAGTTGTACAAAAAGATGCTTATAGCATGTGGTACTATGAAAGCCATTTTTCATACAGTTATGCGTGGGTTAACAGTGTGTGTGTGTGTGTGTTTAACATGTTTGCAGTTGCTATGGCTAATTATTCCTACTTCAGAGATGGAACTTGACAGCATAGACATATGGGAGCTGCCATTGCTTACCTGTTTTAGAAAGGTGCAGATTTCAGAGCTGTCACCCTTAAGGTGCCCATACACTGCTCGATTCTCGTACGAGAATCGCTGGAAATCCCGCGATCGTACGAGAATCGAGCAGTGTGAACGAAGAGGTGCGACCGTTTCTACTGTACGGTCGCACGTCTTTTGTCTAAGGAGCACGCTAGAAAACCAGACGAAAATCGTACGATTTTCGGCTGGTTTGAACGGTGCTCGGGAGACAAATGCCGAACGGGCCGGTGTGCGCACGCGCACACTGCCCCTTCAGCATTGCGGTCATCGGAAGCCCGCCCCTCAGGGGGGCGGGCTTGCGATGATCGAGAGTACGATCTGCCTTTCCAAGATGGGCAGATCGTACGTTTTTTTAAGTACTTTACAACCATCGCAAGACTAAGGTCTTGCAATGGTTGTAAAGTGTATGGCCACCTTTATACTTTGTTACTTAGTGAGTTACTGACCTGGAACAAACGAGTGTCAGGTGTCCCTTAACCTGTTAGTACAGTCTTTTCCAACCTTGTTACCCTGGAGGAAACCCTTAAAATAATTTTCAGGTGTCCTGAAACCCTTGGAAAAAATGTTTATACCTTTGGCTTTGACTCATATTACTTTAGCATGATAAGCAAGTTGTAATGGTTTTAAATTAAAGGTCTAAAGAATGTGGCCCATTTAGAGTATTTGACATCCAGGACAAATCTGTTTCAAAACTCTTGCCGCCTCTGTAAAACAAAATAATTCAAGTAATAATTGTGAAATGGATATAAATTACAGAATAGAAATACAAACACTAAAAATGTTGGTATAAGCTAATATTATTGGTCAGTGTAGAAGTGATCCCTTACATTGGTGGTCAGTGTAGAAGTGATCCCTTACATTGGTGGTCATTGTAGAATCCCCCTTATATTGGTGGTTAGTGTAGAAGTGATCCCTTACATTGGTGGTCATTGTAGAATCCCCCTTACATTGGTGGTCAGTGTAGAAGTGATCCCTTACATTGGTGGTCAGTGTAGAAGTGATCCCTTACATTGGTGGTTAGTGTAGAAGTGATC